CTCCTGTCTGTACGGTAATTTCTCTACTGTGCGACAGAGAGTCCTGTGGTTATGACGCAATCGTTAGCCTATTTTTACAAAAACGGCTTCTACGGGGCCATAACGTAAGATACAAGGTAATGAAACCTTTTATACATTGTCGTGTTTCTTTAGAAATAAATAATGGACAAATGGAGTCTTTGGACGCCTCAGATGTAAAGTTATTCGCTGTCAAAGAGACGCCAAAATAAATGGGAGTCAATGGAATGCTATACAGCAGGTGATGGTCTGCTACAGTCGCGGCCCCCAAGGGAAGCTTCAGTTTCAGTTTCAGATGGATTACCCCCTTGGTGAGAACTGAAGCCGCCAGTGTCCCGATATTTTTTAAGTGGCCTATGTCTGCCCCATTCCTCCATTCTGCTCCAATTTTGATGTCTGTTGATTGCAGTACGACAAGTTAAAATAAAGTAAATACAATCTCCTCAGTCCTCCGAAGACCCCGAAAAAAAGTCTGTTGGTGCTTCAGTGATTACTTCGCTCAGAGAACCTGTCAATCACAGCTGTCAATCATGACGTTACACTACCGTTTTTATAGCATCACATAACTAACTAAAAGCAAACTTATTTTAAAAACAGACACTTGAACTTACATCAGCGTGATACAAACGACAGCAAATGACAGAAACCACCTTTGGAAAAAAGATATTTGAAGTGTAATTTAATTAGTTGGTCTCACGTCCCGTTGAATAACACGGGGAGGCGGGGTTTATGACCTATACTAGGACCAGTCATCAGGGGGCGATCGAGACGTTTTGGCTTCACTTTTCAGGGCTTGTGCGGCACGCTTGGTTCCAACCCATTCAGATTCACACGCTCACGTTTTAAATGAAGCCATAGGCTAGCCAGACTACAGTGAGCCCATAAATATTACAAAACAACCTCCATAGGGTGATTCCGAATCTCTTCATGACATTATCCAGCCCATTCTCATCCCAAGGCGTCATCTAACTGACGCTTTTGACCATGCGTCAACATGCCGACGCACATGGTACCCCTTAAGCGTCAATATGAGACGCGCCTCCTAGTGGTCTAACACTAACCCTACCCCAAACCTAAACCTACCCATAACGGAAGCGTCATCTAACTGACGCTAAAGGGTGCCATGTGCGTCGGATTTAGACGCATGGTCAAAAGCGTCAGTTAGATGACGCCCGAGGATGAGCGTCTCATATTGACGCTTAAGGGGTACCATGTGCGTCGGCATATTGACGCATGGTCAAAAGTGTCAGTTAGATGACGCCTTGGGATGAGTATGTGTTGCATTATCCTGTTTACAACATGGTTGTCTAGAGATTTGTGTAATAATTATTATAATTAGGCCTACAGATTAACCAAAATCCATACCCTAACCTTAAAGTCGGCATGAAACGGAAAAGGTGATAATTTTCTTCCCTATTGTGACATATATCCGAGTGAAACAGCTTCTCGAAAAAAATAAAAGATTTTGTTCATTGGGAATTTCGCAAAGACCCGCCCACTTTAGTTACTTTAGTTTAGTTACTTATGTCCGACAAGCCAAGCCGCTCTCACGCCCCACCATGTTCTCACGCAGTGAAAAATATATCGCAGAGCAGAGAGGACACTGACAACGCTCAGACCAGGTTACTTTTGATATGAAACAAAGTCTCAAATTTTGGTAATTTGGTAATTTTTTCAAGAAATTTAAACAATGAATTCCGTTTTGTGGCTCTTTAATGTATCTGACCTGATCGCTGTAGAGCCTCAGTTAAAGCTGCTCGTGAACCGATCATCTCTTCCTTCTAACTTATTTAATTTATAAAATAAACATGAATGAACATAAGAAGGAATGTTGTTTTAAGCACGGAAAGACTTCAGTACACTCCGTTTTTCAAGTTCAAATCCTCCAATGTTTAACTCTCCTGACTGCTTAGTCGGACAAAAATGGCGGATTTGGCGGATGGCGGATTATGATTGGTCTGATCGCCTGTCAATCAAACTCCCTGCGAAGGGTCAATTGATTGGATCATTGTTCTTCTCTGCTCTGATGACATGTTTACTGGCACGAGGAAAGGACAACCTGTCAATGACTACGTTTACATGCAGCCAAATTTCGGGTTATGGTCGGGTTAAGGCCACTATTCGGGTTTCTGAAACATTAGGGATAACCCGTTTACATGCGTGAGCAGAGAGAGTTACTCCTGTATACATGGAATTGCAATATCCCGATGTAAACGCGACGCGCGGTTAGCGTCTGGACGTACGGACAACCTTAAGACGCAATATGCGTCATTTCCGATTCTTCTTCCTGTATCCAAAGACAACAACAACAGCAGCATGCGGATAATGAATAGTTCGGGGCAGATAGCGATCGCCTTTGTTTGCGCTTTGGTGCTTTGTTTGCGCTTTGGTCATATAGACTACGTTTACATGCAGCCAATAACCCGTTCAAAACCGGGATATAGAGGATATGCGCATGACGTCACCGTCGGCCGGAGTGAATGCGGTCACGCCCACAAGTGGCAAAAAGACTGAGCGGCAGCATTTGTTTTCAGCGTGAATGCCGTGAAAATCACACAAAACACATCTAAAACGGGAAAGAGCTTTGCGATTGACTGTACAACTAGATTTGACCAGAAATCTGAGGTAGTGTATATTTTTACAGACTGCAAAAAGCTCCAGAACAGACTATATTCTGCATAATTGGATGTTTTTAAATAAACACTGACAAAAAACTATACAAGTTTTAGGGCTGGACGATATGATGATATACAGTATAATAACATTAATGTAAGTGATCACTCGGATTTAGACCTATCTATATTGTATTTATATAAAACGTTTACAGGCAAATTGTCTTCATTTATTTCCCCGGCGTCGAAATCAGGCACATATAAATGTCAGGAAACACGATTCCTGCTGCATGTCAATATCCATGGATCACTGGATCTTTGATAAGTTGTAAGGAACACTATATCGAGTCCAACTTTTAGTTTAAACTGATAATAGTTTGTTTTACTCGCGTTAACGCAGTTTCCCATATTAACTCCAGTCACGCAGCAGCTCTTCTGCCACTCAGTCCCGCTGAGGGGGGCGTGTTCCGGCGGGGAAGTGACGTTAATGCATTCCCTCTATTAGCAATAACCCGGTCGCGCACGGCCATGTAAACACCGGCAAAAACCCGAATATGCTCATATCCCGGATTTTAAAAACCGGGATATGATACCTGGGGTACCCCTTTTCTAACCCGAATTTTGGGTCATGTAAACGCGCATCGGCATATCCCCGTAGTGATTTGTGTTCTGCGCATGTTCTATTCGCAAAGAATCTTGGTCTTTTGAGTAGAGGAACTTCTCGGCGCATACAAAAACCTGCGTGCAGTATACCGGAAGTAAACATGGCGAGACGCAGCACAGCATACTTTTGGAGCGAGGTCAGTACCAGCACCAAAGTGCAAACAAAGGCGATCGCTATCTGCCCCGAACTATTCATTATCCGCGTGCTGCTGCTATTGTTGTTGTCTTTGGATACAGGAAGAAGAATCGGAAATGACGCATATTGCGTCTTAAGGTTGTCCGTACGCCGTGCGTCGCCGTTTACATCGGGATGATATTGCAATTACATGTATACAGGAGAAACTCTCTCTGCTCACGCATGTAAACAGGTTATTCCTAATGTTTCAGAAACCCGAATAGTGACCTTAACCCGACCATAACCCGAAAATTGGCTGCATGTAAACGTAGTCAGTCACTCACATGAGATCACAGCAACAATAAGCCACAACCATCCAACGATCCAATCAATTCCCGATGTACAAAATCAAGTCCTGCATGTTTTTCTTGTTCGAGAAGCCGTGTTGCTCAATACCATTTTTTCTTATAGCTAAATCATTTACATTAGAAAAGACATCTCTGTCAGAGGGTAAAATTATTAATGATGTAGGCCTATAACTGTAGTATTTTAAATTTTATTGTAATTTGTACAAAAAATTGTATTGTTTTATTACAACAAGCTATAATAGGAAATTATTTTTATTTTCATTAATTTACAGTAAAATTTTGTACTTTCGTGTGGGTGTGCGGAAATACAAGTTTGAACAGGAAATAAAATCTATTTGTTGTTCGCTTTTGGTATCTGAGAGATAGATAGATAGATTAGAGATAGATAGATAGATAGATAGATAGATATATAGATAACCACCCCTTTTTAAAGGGTGCCTAGAGGTTCTACATAGGGTTCCACCAGTGTGGCAAAGTTAAGAACCTCAAAATGTTCCTCCAGCATCTTTTCATTTTTACAGTGAGGGAAGAAAAGACTATTGCAACTTTCCTTTTAAAGAGGCATATGATTTGCATGGATAAATAATTTATCATAAATACTGCAATATTCCATAAAAATAAGAATTATCAATTTTGATTTAATGGTGACTTTAAGGAGAAACCTTAACATTTTTAGATTAAAACACAACATTATTATTTTATTTATATATATATATATATATATATATATATGTTGTGTTTAACAAATGAGGATGTTTCATGGTGTTTTCAGATTAAGCCTGGATGTTTTCCGTAGGAACTAGAGCTATTAGCACACACACACACACACACACACACACACGCATACCGGCTCTGAAAGAATATGTGTCACATGCTGTTTGTTACTGGAAGTGTAGTAAAATTTGCAACTGGAACAAAAAAATTTATGATTTATCTTAGGGTGTTGTCATGTCACTGTCATGAAAGCTGACAGTTTTTTTTATATGCAGGAAACAACTTAACTCATATACCGCTGCACTGAAAAAGAAAAAAACGAATGTAAAAAACAAAAACAAAAAAAATGTACAAAATAAAACAAAGAATAAAAGAATCACCGTTCGGTGATTACAGGAAACTTTCCTCTACGCTGCCTTTTCCCCAGCATTTCACAAATTGTTGTTACGTAATTTCCCCTCTATTTTCTCTACACTCAGCATCACTGGTTTTTTATGGGTTTATGAGAGACACCTGATCAAAGACACTAAAGACTCCTATAAAAACTCAGATCTTCATTCTCACAAACACTGACAAGCAGCTGACTGACATCAAGGAAATCTATACATTCCATCACAAGTAAGTACTCAGGTTTAACCACATTTCAGTCCTATGGAACTATACTGGAACTATACAGAAAAACGTGTGGGAGTGTTATAGAAGAAAGGAAACAGTGACATACGCCACTCAGTTCTGTTTTAACTTGTGCACTTCAATCCAACCTCACACTTGTCACATCTCTTTCTTTGTGCAGGATGAGGCTTTTGGTCGTTGCTGCTGCTTTTCTGGCTGTTGCCAGTGCTGCCAGTCTTTCTCTGGAGGACATGGAGTTCTACGCATGGAAAATGAAATTTGGTAAGAGAGTCTCCTTCTTTAGTTTTATTAAATTGGGAAAGAGATTCACAAGGTTCTCTTCGTTGACTGAATGAAAAAACTAGACCAAACAGACAAACACTGAAGCCATTCAGACTCAGACAGCGAGCAAAGACAGAAGTGCCAAAAATGCCAACAATAAATAAATAAGTATATTTTTAAGAGTAATTTTTGTATCTCCAGGATCATGGTTATATCAGTAGTCAAACGGGTTGCTTATGGGACACTGTGAAGGTGACAAAAGTCAGGAGATGCTTGTAAATGTAACACTGATGTAAAAAAAGAAAGAAAGAAAATGGTTTGTTAAATGATTTTACAGACATCCTGTTTTTCCACATATGAAATTTCATAAGAAAAAGCTATATTATATACATGATATGTTTTAATATAAAAGATGACTACAATCAAACTAAATTCATTTAAATCAAAACTAAATTGTCAGTCAAAAATGACTTGCCTTTTTGCGAAATGTTTGATTTACTTTATACACATTTAATTTATTTCTAAATATTTTGTTTTTACTAACAGATTATTTAAATTAATACTTTACACATTTATTTATTTTTACTATAACAAATGTCTATTTAAACATTGAAACTAGCAAAAACCTTTGCAGGAACTACAAGTTAATGCTGTTTAAAACAATGCCTCATCAACTTTTCTCATGTGCCTCAGGTAAGAGCTACCATTCAACTGAGGAAGAATCTCACCGTAGGATGACCTGGTTGTCCAATCGCAAACTGGTTTTGGTCCACAACATGATGGCAGATCAGGGCATCAAATCCTACAGGCTTGGCATGACATACTTTGCTGACATGGTAAGAAATTTAAATATAGTCAAATATATATTCAATATTTAAAAGTTTTTCTGTTTTACTCAAAAGTTCAGAATTCATCATATTTCTTCTATCTATCCTCTCTCAGACCAATGAGGAATACAGACAGGTGGTGTTCCATGGATGCCTGGGCTCCATGAATAACACTAAGGCCCGTGGTGGTTCTACATTCTTCCGGCTGAGAGATGGCGCTGTGCTGCCTGATAGCGTTGACTGGAGGGAAAAGGGCTACGTGACTGATGTTAAAGACCAGAAGCAGTGCGGATCATGCTGGGCCTTTAGTGCAGTAAGACCCACATTTTTGCCATTACAAACAGATCTTACAGGGCAAATTCTTTAACAGTCCATGTAGTCCAGTTCAATGGCAAGCCGTTTTAGCTTAAAATGTTCTCAGCGTTACACGTCGTAATTGCATTTTTACTAACAATTATGATTAGAGAGCTCTCTAATTCAATTATTACTAATAAAAATTACAATTATAGAGCTCTCTAATTCAATTCTTACTAGTAACATTTACAATTAGAGGGCTCTACAATCTAATTTTTACTAGTAAGAATTCCAGTTAGAGAGCTTACTTCAATTTTTACTAGTACGAATTTCAATTACAGAGCTCTCTAATTCAATACTTACTAGCAAAATGCAATTACAGAGCTATCGAATTAAAGTTACTATTAAAAAAACACATTAAAGATGTTTAATTGCAGAGCTCTGTAACTGAATTAGAGAGCTCTCTAACTGGAATTCTTACTAGTAAAAATTTAATTAGAGAGCTCTCTATATTGGAATTGTTAAGAATTTTACTGCAGAGCTCTCAAACTTAAAGGTGCTCTAAGCGATGTCACGTGTTTTTTAGGCCAAAACATTTTTTGTCACATACAGCAAACATCTCCTCACTATCCGCTAGCTGCCTGTACCCTGAACACACTGTAAAAAACGCGGTCTCTGTAGACAGCTCCACAAACGGAAACAAAAACAAACTGGGGCAACCCGCACCACGAAACATAACAAACAGTGTTCCAGACAATAACCGACAAGAATGATTTGGGGGTGGGGTTAGTGCGCGTGCACGTGAAGGGGTGTGTGGAGGAGAGAGAAGCATGAAGAGGGAAGTTAGAATTATAACTCTTTAAGTTTGATATGACCGACACACGACCAAAGAGACGACGTTCCGATGAACAGATTGCAAAAATGCAAAGAAGAGGGAAAAGGAGAAGGAACGCGCAAAGTCCCGAATTTACATTGGAAAAGCCTTTGAAAGGTGGCGAGAAAGGGCTTCCAATCCGACATTCAGGTAGCTCTGTTTTTGCTGGACCGGTGGGTAAATCCAGTTTGGTTTTTCTAAATGGACTTTCATGTTCGCCTAACATACACAAGAATGTTAGTCACTAACTTTGGTAAATACAACATATAGGTTTCTAGCAGCTAGCTATCGATCTCTATTGTAAATGATCAAGCAAACTCACAGTAGGGCAACAGTTTGTGTGAATGATTGTTTTCACCAACTGTTTATGAATTTGAATGTTCATTCATAGCCTATTGACAACTTTGACTAAATTTGTTTACAACGGAGCCGTTGTTTATGCTCAATGGGAAACGCAATAGCTATTAACTTGCTATTATTGCGTCCTTGTATGGGAGCTAAAGTTATAACCTCAGGTGGTAAAACGTTTTATCGAGTTTTTCCAATGTTTCTCTTTTTCGGCATTCTGTTCTGAATTATATGAAAGCATTTATCTAACTTGGCGACATTACACCTTGAATGAAGTATCAGTAAAACTACTGGGGGAGGGGCGGGATGAGGAGGAGGGAGGGTCTAGCTAGCTTCCGTTTTGTTTGACAATACTTTGAACATCGCTTAGAGCACCTTTAATTCTTAAAATGCAATTACGACAAGTAATGCTGGGAACATTTGAAGCTAAAACAACTTGCCATACCAGTTCAGCATGCCTCTGCTGCTATTCATCCCTCTTTTGTCTCTCAGACTGGTTCCCTGGAGGGTCAGACATTCAAGAAGACAGGAAAACTGGTGTCCTTGAGTGAGCAGCAGCTGGTGGACTGTTCTGGTGCTTATGGGAACATGGGCTGTAATGGGGGACTAATGGACCAGGCCTTCCAGTACATCGAAGCCAATAAAGGTCTGGATACAGAGGAGTCCTACCCATATGAGGCAGAGGTGAGTCCTAACAATGTTAGTGAGAAAAAATTCTCAACCGTAAAGCTTCAGCTGAGGGTTTTTTAAAATCATTTTTGCTCATCAATATTCTCCACACAGGATGGTCAGTGCCGTTTTAAGCCGAGCACCGTAGGTGCCACTTGCACAGGATACGTCGATGTCGCCAGTGGGGATGAAAGTGCACTACAGGAGGCCGTTGCTACAATCGGCCCTGTATCTGTTGCTATCGATGCTGGACACAGCAGCTTTCAGCTCTATGAATCTGGTAACTGTCATCACCTATTTTTTAGGTGTTAGGTTTTAAATGTATTCTTTGAACACTATTTATTCATCTTTTAATTCTATATTTGCTGGCTAATTAATTGACAAGCTAATTTACTGATTATTGTTTCTAGGCGTCTACGACGAGCCCGATTGCAGCAGCTCTGACTTAGATCATGGCGTTCTGGCTGTTGGTTATGGAACTGAGACTGGAGGGGACTATTGGCTTGTTAAGAACAGGTTAAGAAAAAAAGCACAAGACAATGAAACAAGAATGAATTAACAAAATGATAGTACACGACTGAACAGAGAAATAACTAAACACTCAAACTGCTGTGATTTTAGCTGGGGGCTGGGATGGGGTGTCAACGGCTACATCATGATGACAAGGAACAAGAACAACCAATGTGGCATTGCTACTGCAGCCAGTTACCCTCTGGTCTAATGGGTGAGGTTTTATGCTAATATGCTTTTATGGCTTTAGTCAGATCACAGAATTGGGGCAAGTTTTATTTAAAATTTAAGACATAGGTTTACTTTTTTAGATAAATTCCATAGTTGAATAAAATTATTTTCTTATGTTCTGCAGGAAAGGGGACCTGGAGCAGATGGGAGAAAATGAAATGTGAACCAATTCTACAATAATACCTCATAATTGTACTTTTATTTGAATGAAATATTTTCTGATTTTATAGCTATTGTTTTTATTTTCAAACCCTCTGACTATAGGGAAACACTATGTTAACAGGAAAATGGAATAAAAAAAATGAACGCATCTGTGTGGGGTATATTTTATTATCAAGCATAAAAACTCTCATCCTTGTGGTTTAGTTTCCTTTATTTCCTCTTCATAATTCACAATCAAGCACAATGCACACTCAGTACAGTATCTTTTAAAAAGCACTACGTGCCAATGAGTTAACGAAGTGTCTGGCTTGTTTTTAATTGAACAGTTCTTTAAAACAGTTAGGAATCCAAATCATAAGCCTTTTTTCCCTCCATAAAAATCATGAAACCATTGTGTTATGCCTCGGAATCTGCTGGAAACTTCTACTTAAAGCTTGAAATAATTGGGTAACATATACACTTTTACTTTCAAGAGTGAGAATGTCACATGGACCTCTGTTCTTTCCCATCTGCCAGTGACTGAAAGAATTCATGAAAATATGATAACTGAAAGTTAAACATTACCACAGAAGAGCTTAAGGGGGTGTTTCAGTAAAGTTTCTTTCACAAGAAAGTCTATCCAGCCTGGTTTGTTTGGAAGGAACATAATTATGCTGTTTTTTTTTTATTGAAATAAACAGTTTTAAAATATGATACTGCTTCAAACGGGTTCCTCTATATTCACTATTTATTGTTATTATTAGTGGCTTTTTTGCAACCTCAAACATTAAGTAGCCTATGTTCATTCATAATCTTTCAAATACACATCAGTGGCTCTTTTCTGCTCATCAGTTTATGCTCTCACAAATACCACCTATATTGAGTTCATTTCCCCCTGAAGGCGCGCGCATTTGTTCTATTTTTTTATATAATTGGTTTTGACGCGTTTGTTAACAGATTAAAATAAAATGCAATGTCCATACCTTTGCAAATAAAATTGTATATTCCAATCCCTTTGTCCATTTCTTTCCAAATTAAACAAAAATAAATAAAGGAATCGTCAATTTCATGCATGTCATCAAAACAATCCATTCAAGTCAATCACGATAAAAAAATGTATTTGACCTTCGCGCACACTTCTGTGAACTTGACAACATAAATACATTTTATGCCCTCTAGTGGTGTGAAAGAAAATGACATGAACCCATTAATGGCTCCACACCCCCCTTAAAACAGTAGGCCTAGGTCAGGGGTAGGCAAGTTCGGTCCTAGAGAGCCGCGCTGTCCTGAACAGTTTGGCTCCAACACTGAAAAAAACCTCTCCTGCCTATAGCCTTAGTAATCCTGAAGACATAGATTAGCTTGTTCAGGTGTGTTTGATTAGGGTTGGAACTAGATTCTGCAGGACAGCGGCTCTCTAGGACCTAACTTGCCTACCCCTGGCCTAGGTGCTTTTATTTAGACTGCATACCTTGTCACAGACTTTATGAGAGAGTTTGTTCATATGTATCTTTATTTTACACAGTTAAAAACAGACTTATTGGTGGATATTTTTATGACATGACATCCTGCTTCACTTTTTTTTTGATGCTATATTAACTACAGATTTCAGTCTGTTAAAAACAATTATATATGCTTTTGAATGCGTGATATATTTTTAATTTTATACAGTTTTGAACAGTTTGTTTTTGGCAATAATTCCACAGTGATTTCCTGATTCCAAACATATTGTCAAAATTACTTTACAGAAAATGACTTTGCACATTTTCCTGCATTCCAAGCATATTGCCACAGCTCTATAGGTGTACATCTATCAGCAGTATGTACAAAATGAGTGAAAAAACATCTTACAATTTCCTGGTCACATTTTACCTAAAAAAAGAAAAGAAAAAGTACTTTGCATTCATCTCATTATATTCTCATGACATGACAACATGGCCGTAAAAGAGTGCAAATAGGCCTATATATTTAAACCAGTTTAAGGAATATTGCCATGATGTGGAAGTATTTATAATTAAAATAATACATTATTATTTAATTCACATGCCAGTACAGAGAATTAGATTTATTTGGCGTGGAGAACTAGTCATATAATGTCACAAAAACTCCTGATGCTTCTAAAATAGGCTTAATCATCTTTAAGGAAAAAATACTTTTTTATTCCTCTTGGTCAATTTGAAGTTGTCACGGGTGGTGTATGCAGAGGAAGACGAGAAGTCAAATTTCCAAATAAACTTTACTTACAATGATTCCAAACTCAGCTACAAGGAAGACAGGCAGGATAACACACACATACACTCTGAGTACATCTAACAACCGACAAGGACTGACTGAACTGAAGGGAAGTAAATACAGGGTGTGATGAACTGAAAGCAGGTGACAAGATGATGATAATTAACTAAACAGGTGAGACAACTGAAGACAAACGAGGAGCGGGAAAACTGAACAAGGAAGACATGTGACAGATTGAGATAACCAAAACAACAGAACAGATGAACATGACTTTGGCCCCGTTTACACGATGGGAAAACGCAGATATTTCTCTGCGTTTTGCCCTCTCATTTACACGAAAACGCCGTTTTTATCACAGAAAACGATTATTTCTAAAAACTCTGGGCAAAGTGGAGATTTCTGAAAACGCCGGTTCCCTTTCGAGAGGTTCCTCCTATTGCGTAAGTAGCTTACGCTATGGGAAAACTCCTTTTCTCGAGAAATATTGAAGTCTTTATGTAAAACGCATTGCAGCAGCACAGCATACAGCAATGAGCGAGGCAGCTCGGTCATTGGCTATGCTGCGGCAACTGCACGAACCTATGACGGGGCGACTCTGAACCCGCTTCCAATGAGCGTGCTTCGCGCCCGCGCGCGTCAGAGCCCACCAAGATGGGCGTGGCCAAGGACTATATATTGGGCGCCCCGTCGTCTGAGTTCTTTAGATTTAATCTCCTTCAGCAAAGACCTTCTCTTTGCTGGATCCTCCGGATTTCTTGGAGTCTTTTCGCCGCCGCCGTCGACAAGCCTACAGCAGGACTGCTTCGAGGACGCCGGCGCCTTCAGCCGCCTTCGATCGCCTTCTGCTAAGCCATCCGGCGCGCATCACCTTTTATATCATTTCAAAGCTAACAGTGTTCGCCCCCGCGACACTTTTCTAAAAGAGCAAATTCAAGGCGTTGTTTCAAATGCCTTCCTGCGCCTCGTGTCGAGGCCCTCTTCAGGACGGGGATCATCACATCATTTGCACCCGCTGCTTGGGACCGGACCACGCAGAGGCTGCCCTTACTCGAGGCGGATGTCCCGAGTGTGACGCCCTGGGCCTCACCGAGCTGCACGCTCGCTTCGCCGTTTTCACCGCGAAAGAGCCCACTTCCTCCACTTCCATCAATGTGCTGAACCCAGAGCCTCGTAAGTCCTCCTAGCTACAGGGAGAAAAAGGGAGAGCGCAGGTCTCGCAAAAGCCGTACCGTTCTCTCCAAAACGTTTAAAACATTACCCAGTCCCCTTACAGGCGGCTGGAAATGTCTGTACAGCAGCCAATGTGCCAGCCACACAGCTCGCTCACCTGCAAACAAACGCCGTTTTTACGGCGACACACAGAAATCACATAAAGAGCCATTTTCTGCCTGTGTCATTAAAGGGTCACGTGTCCACACCAAAGTGCGCATTCCCACATATCAAAACTGTCAAAACAGTGCCAAATGCTTTCCCAGCTCAGGCTGGACGCCCCATAAATGTAGATTGTGTGCCAACTGTCACGTATGCACCACTACACATAAGCACTGTTCCCACAGTTATAAACACTTCCCCAGTAAAAGCGGGAAATCCTATAAGAGTAACGCGTGTGCCCGCTGTTATGCACGCACCCCAACTCACAAACACTGTTTATATGGCCAAAGACCTCCCGCCACGAGCGGGAAGTTTTATGAAAGTGGCGCGCGTGCCTACCACAGTTTATGCACCCCCACCCATAAGCACTGTCCATACAGTCTTAAACATTTCCCAATCTCACACTGTGAGCTTTACGGCGAGCGTGCCTGTAATCTCACACGCACCCCTGCACTCGGCATTCAACAAAGCTGCTCAGCGCGCGCCCGCGCCTCTGAGAGCTATAAGCTCGGTATTAGCACAAGGCGATTTGCCGGCGGGAGCCATGCGTCACTGCGACATGCCCCCAGCCAGCATTCAGCCCATATCTGTGCGAGCGAAAGCTTGGGAAAATATCCCCGGCATGCCGAAATGGGTTTTGAACATAATAAAACACGGTTACTCGCTTCAATTCGCTCGCAGACCACCCCGCTTCACAGCAGTGGTCGAGACGAAAGTGAGAAAAGATGTTTCACATGTTCTACGCACCGAGGTGCTCAAACTGATAGAGAAAGGCGCTATAGAAACAGTCACTCCCTCTGTGAGAGAGACAGGTTTTTACAGTCGATATTTTCTCGTCCCGAAGAAGGATGGTGGTCTCCGCCCCATTCTAGATCTCAGACATCTGAACAAAGCTTTAATGATTCGCTCGTTCAGAATGTTAACAACCAAGCACATCCTCGCGCAAGTTCGCCCGGGGGATTGGTTTCTATCAGTGGATCTGAAAGACGCTTACTTTCACATTCCGATAGCGCCTCATCACAGGCATTTTCTGAGATTCGCTTTCGAGGGACAGTCATACCAGTACACAGTACTACCATTCGGCCTGTCACTGGCACCCCGCACATTCACGAAATGTATGGATGCAGCACTTTCCCCCCTGAGGCAGCGGGGAGTGCGAATACTAAATTATCTCGACGATTGGCTAGTTCTAGCACAATCAGAGAGCCAGTTAGTGACACACAGGTCTTGGATTATCAGTCATCTAAAATGCCTGGGTCTAAGAATCAATTTTGCAAAGAGCATGCTATCCCCCAGCCAGAATATTTCTTTTCTGGGAACAGTGCTAGACTCAGTGCAGATGACGGTGCGCCTCTCATCAGAGCGCGCGCTCACTATCCGGCGCCTTGCAACATCGTTCAGAGCGGGCGCGCGCGCCCCCGTCAGGCGATTTCAAAGGATGCTCGGTCTCATGGCCTCGGCAT